TGTAAGGAATAACCATGTGTCTTGCCTGCCAAACAGCAACAAGTTGAGACCTGGTTTGAAGTGTCTCATACAGAATAAAACACATAAAAGAAGACAGACGATATAAACAAAGAAATTCAGTGTACTTATGGTCCTAAGTCCTAATAAAACCTTGACAGACTAGCGGATCCCACACATAAACAGAATGAAGATATCAACAATGACAAACAGAACTCACGGTTCTATCTAGACCTTGACGAACTACAGGATCACACTCAATAACCCCAAAGCGCCGAATAAGTTTCCTGTAGTAGTACATTACATTCAGTAATCAGTATATGCAAGGAAAGAAACAATTTAAACATGATTCAGAGAATGAAATCTCTCACTGTTGTTCTTTTGTGATGATAGTTCTCAAAGAGTGTCAGAACGCAGGCCGAAAATCAGGAGGACCACCAGGAGACTGACTAACAGGAGATTGTATATAAGCTGTATCTAGTAAGAGTTCAATCAAGCAGCTTCCAACCTTTAAAAAAGACTTTCTGAATGACGATGAAAGGTAAATAAGAATGTCATCAGAAAATGTAACGAGAACACAAACCTTGGCCCCAGGGTTTGGAATCATCTTCACCGCTGACCAGTTTTCGTACTTGGTGAGGCTTTTGCTTTTTCATCAACTTTAAGACCTTTTTCCTTAAAGATTCTTGCTCTCTGGTAACTGTATAACCAGCATCTTCACTTCTCTTATCCTTGTCTCTTTTTTTCCTAGTTTTCTCCATAAATCTGTGAATCCTTCCCTGATTCAATCCCACACTACAGTTACAAAAATGAATCTAGAAACCCGTCAATAACGGATAATCTCCAAATGTGAAGACAAAATAAAACTGCACAAAGTATGGACAGGAAAGATTTTTGGCAACCATTACGCACATAAATGTTCAGACGAAAATCCCAGACAATTCAGATGAGGTTTTAGTTGCAGTCATGAGTTTTTAAATTGTAGTCAGAAGATTTAAATCAATTATCCAGATAATGGTCCAACATTAGTTTTGGTAACCTATCGAACCAAAATGGTATCAATAAACCATACAGTACATGACCTATACTACTACATTTGAATTGTAGTAGTGACTTTTAAATTGTAGTCATAATTTAAATTAAGAATTCATACAATGTTCTGATATTATTACCAAAAACGTATCGGACCAGAAAGTATGATACTGTACACTAATTGGTAGATTATCCTATACCATCAACATCATTGAATAAAATAATAATATATTAAGAATTAATGGTAATGAACCAGCACCGAGCTATAGGTTATGACACCAGTAATCGGTCAAACTGGTAAATACCAGTAAGACCAATAAGTATCAACCTTAAGTTATAGCATGAATACCAATTGGTAAATACCATCCTGACCAGTATCTAATTCCTCAGTAGTTTAAATTTGCAAATCCCAGTAAGGTACAAATACCACATTGTATGGCAAACATAAATGATAAACAATTAGAATTTACATTCTAATATCATGAGAAGAAACCAAATACACTTACATTAACAAAGGGTAGCTTGTGAGAAATTTGAATGAAGTTCATATTTGTTTACTCTATGGAGAAAAAACAACCTGAAAATACTAAAGAGTTTCCTTAATGTAAATTCACTATACTTGTCTCACACACTACCCATGGAACCAAGTCCATTATGAAAATGTTCAATTGTTAGTTCTAAAATTCATCCAGGATTCAATAGGGACAGCAGTAATGTTTGCTAAAGGTAATTTCAAACATAATAGTCTGATCCAAGGTTATTAGATATCCATCTTAGCTCTTCTTCTTCAAAGAAAAATCTGCCTAAACGCATGTTATATGTTAATAACTTAACAATATATGCTTTCAATGGGCACTCTGTAACATGTATAATCATGACTAATTGATTCTCCAAGTATGCCCAATTTTGTCTTCCAGCTCAAATTTTTGGACATGAATATCCTTTTTCCCATTCCATAAGCTTGTGTAATAATGAGTTTTCAACACTCGGTTTAGTCCAACAGAGAAAGTTTGCGTAATAGTCTCGTCATGGTTGCTCGTGATAATTAATATCAAAACCAATCTAATATTGAGCATGAAGAGAGGCTAGAATGGGCCGTGGATGGGGTCGGAGGATACGCCACAGCATAAAGACACCACTAAGCTAGGGCTCACATGCACGATTGATTCTACGCTACGTTGGATCTTGACAAAAACATCAAGCCCTCAAGTGGGAGAGATTGTAATAACCTCACATCAGAATTGAAAGTTGAACCGGTTTCCAAGGCCTGATGGATCGACTACTATTAACCTAGGTTGAAGAATTTTGAACCGGTGGTTTAGGTTAGTTATCCCATCAGGGTGGATCATGACAGTCATATAATATTTTTTTATTATTTAGGATTACTAATGTTTAAAGGCTAATTAAGTAGTAGTGACATTTTCCCACACCACCAAATTTCCTTGATTTATCTTGGTAGTAAAATCAACAGGTTATGTTCCCTTAAAACAGTGTTTCAATAATTTTGTTAAATATTTTGTTTTATTGTCGGTTCTATGATCCTTCCATGATAAATGAGAAGAAATTATGTATGGTACAAGCACGAACATCGAAGCAGAATATGCAAATCAAATGACATGACAAGTTAGGAGGATGTTAAGCTTGATCGCTTGCTGGTCAAATGGTTGTCTAGGTCGTCCAGCCACAAAAGATTGCAGGTATGCTTTGTAACGTAAAGTTAAAAGAGAATGGTAACATATTTTACATATGGGAAGGAATGTTCAAGAAGTTTATTAAAAAACCCAAAAAATTCTAGCCAATTAATGCAAAAAATTATTGTAACAGGTGGTTGAATGACAAAGCAACATCCTTCCTACCTCACGCTCGATGGCATCACCAATTTTGCATGCAGCCTGAACAACAAGAACACTTCCATTTTCACTGCCAGTCATCAGAAGACTCATCATCTTGTGCATAGTGATCACCGCCATCAAATCTGCAGGAAGCTGATTGAAGTAAGGAACAAGTGATGACTTATATCTTGAAACCCCTGCACTGCTCCTGTTCCATGGCAATTCGGTCCCTCAATGGCTCGAACCATCCCAAGAACAAGGACTTCACATACGGTAAGTTTGGGGCCAACTTCCGCTCACACATATTCGTCAAGAGTTCCTTGTACTCCTTAGCCGCCTGCTCCCAAGCGTCAGTCTCTATCTTAATTTGTCTCTGACGAAGCACGTAGTACTTTCTTGCACGCATTCCAGCCACCAACTTGGGACGGTGCTGAAACCGTCTCTCCGGCGGGGACCCGCTGAAACTAGCGCGTGCTTTACCATCTTCGTTCACCTCATCTTTGCCCCACCCATTCAAGAAGCGTTGTACGTCTCCTGCGGAGGGGGTCTCCTCGATTACATCAGTCGAAGAAGCCGCCACATGTACGCCAGCAAAACTCCTGAAATCGGTCGGAACACCAGCAATTGACGACGTGGCGCACAGAAAAAACGGCAACGATTCCTGGTTTTGGCGGTAGTCAACTTCCAAGAACCTATTACCGATCGGCCTCCCAAGGTCCGACACCCGATCCTTGTCGCACACAATCGAGTCTCGAGAGGAACCGAGGAAGTTGGAAACGGAGGGGATCCACCGTGTGCACCGGCCGGAGAAACTGATTGTACGGTAGGAGCAGGGACCGGGGGTGGGGGGGGCGGGTGCGCGGGGATGGGGGGATTGGGGCACAGGACGAAGGGAGATGATTTGACGGTGCGGAGCACGAAGGGGGCGTTACTGCACATCAGAGCGTGCGTATGGGGTGAGGATAGGAGGAAGATGAGAGAGGTTCCAATGTAACTAGGAAGGAGTTGTCGGAGGTGGTGGGAGCAGCCTTCTTCTTCGACGCGCGCCTTTAAACCCTCGCCTGCTTCTCCGGGCTTTGGGATGAAGGATTTTTTTGTCTTTTTCCAATTATATCCAATTAATTTTTTGAAAAATACATAATTCTCCTTTTTTTATAATATAATATGTTAACTAGAGAAATATTTTAGGGTATAGACAAAATATTCTTATTTTTTTATATATAAATAGAATATTTTTCTACTCTACGATTGACTTACATGTTGTTATCACGTGTTGTATTATAATTGAAATGAATATTTCTCCTATCATTATATATAGGGTGATGGGAAGGAGACCTTTAGTTGGATGAAGGTGAAAACAAAGAATATTGGTAACATCATATTTTAAAATAATAGATTCTCAACTGGAATTAATGGAAAGGAGGATGTAATTTCATCTATATTGGTTCATTATCTAATCCCATAGAATAATTAAGTAAATGGATCCAACATACATACATATATACATACATACATCTAACATGACATAAGAACACCACCATATCTATCGTCATACCCTTTCCTTTCTTAAACATTGACACACCTCAGAGAACAAGTCGTATGAATTTACATTGCTTTACCATTTCTTTGCTCAAAACTAACTATAAATACATATTTACTCTCTCTCGATCGATCCCTGTATGTATGTATACTATAAAAAATCAGATGTGGGAGCCATCTCAGTTCATTTGGCAGATAAGATACAATCATACTGACTGAGATGGGATCCCATCAAAGTAATACAAAATAATAATAATAATGAGAAAAAAAACTTGGGCATATCAAACGCGAAGAACATCCCACCATGATCGCATTGCCACTTTTCTCCTGCTCCTAAAAAGCATCATTATGCCTGGCCCACTGGATTCGGTGGGCGTCGCCTTGCGCTCACCGCGGCGACCTCGATCCGCCGCTCCTTATCTTGTTCCGCAGGCTATTTTCAGGAAAATAGGTCCTCATCTCTCGTGGCTTTCAAGGATTCGATAAGATCATGCCACGACCTGTACTGTTATCGAGTTCTAGGGGAACACCAGACCACACCTCGGGTTCGCCTCGACAGCTCAAATAATACCACCAAAAGCTCGTCAGAGAGCCCCCCGCTGTCCTCGCCCTCTCTTCGGAAGTCTTTTTATTCGAGAGGTATCATCTCTGCAAACCCTCAAAGATTCGATTTTTGCGACGTTTTTGGTGAAATATTCCACTTGATCCGGTGGAATTCTATGAGATTGGTCCCTGGGATGCCTTTCTGGGTGTTTTCTTTCTGCCGATGGGGATCGCCCAAGCGGCAATTTTGCTCGTTGTGAACCCCGAAACCGAGCATCCTGATCTTTGGATTCTGGATTGGGCATCATCGAGGGTTTGGTTACGTTGTTCGTCTGTCTTTGGTGGGATTTATCACCTCTGTTGCTGTCCTCGTTATTTGATTTCATATCGTTTAGGGTTTTTGATCCCCGCCGTGGTGTTACATCTTAATACGATCATGCCAAAAGAAATTGTTTTCGGCCTTTGACCATCTTTTTTGAATGCTGCATTCTTCGGTATCCGAAATGCCCTTTCTTCGTTCTTAGGTCACCGGATAGATTGCAAGTTTCGTTTGTCGCCGTCTTGTTAGAATTAGACGGACTGTTCTTCCTCTTCTTGGTTGTGAGGGCTACGGCTGATTCACAAGTTTGTCTTCGATTAGTTCCGCTTTAGGGCTTCTTCACTTTGGGGGTATAAAGCAGATGGATGAAATGGGAGAGCTAGGGTTTCAATCGGCACGAAATTGCATCTTCGGTGATGATGACCCTCCGAAGCATTTAATTCTCTCGACACGAACTGGGTCGCGAAACACAAGCCCATCCAGGCAGAAGGCGATCAAGACCAAGCCTCGGGGCTTCGACGAAGAGACTATTGCAACATTCACCAAAGTCATACATGCTGATATCCAAATGGAAGATAGCATTTGGGCTCTATTACCCGAGGATCTGCTGATGGAGGTTCTTGCGAGGGTGCCTCCATTCTTGATTTTCAGGCTGAGGTCAGTTTGCAGAAGGTGGAATTCGATTCTTCAGGACCGCAGTTTTCTCACGTCCCACTCCCAAGTTCCGTCCCACGGGCCCTGCCTTCTCACTTTCTGGAAAAACTCTCAGGCTCATCAATGTTCTGTGTTCAGCTTACCGCTGAAGACATGGTACAAGATACCTTTCGTATTTTTACCCGACTGGGCTTTCTGGTTGGTCGGTTCTTCGGGCGGTCTTGTGTGTTTCTCTGGATATGATGGGCTTAGCTTTAGAATGCTTGTCTGCAATCCCTTGACTCAGGCTTGGAGGGTATTGCCTGGCATGCACTATAATCAGCAAAGACAGTTGATCTTGGTCACCGATAAGGTGGACCGCTCATTCAAGGTGATTGCTACAAGTGACATATATGGGAATAGAACTTTGCCAACGGAAGTATATGATTCAAAACTTGATGGCTGGTCCGTCCATCAGGTAATGCCAGCTGTTAATTTGTGTTCATCAAAGATGGCTTTCTGTGACTCGAGACTTTATCTAGAGACACTTTCACCACTTGGTCTTATGATGTATCGAGTGGATACAGGTCAATGGGAACATATTCCAGCTAAATTTCCGCGGTCTTTGTTGGATGGATATCTAGTTGCTGGTGCACAAAAACGCTTGTTTCTAGTTGGAAGGATCGGGCTGTACAGCACCCTGCAGAGCATGCGAATTTGGGAGCTGGATCATGCTAAGACAGTATGGGTTGAAATCAGTAGGATGCCACCAAAGTATTTTAGGGCCCTTTTGAGATTATCAGCTGAAAGATTTGATTGTTTCGGGCAGGATAACCTAATATGCTTTACATCATGGAATCAAGGGAAAGGTCTTCTGTATGATGTAGATAAGAAAGCATGGTCTTGGATTGCAGGCTGTGCGATCCAATTATGCAACAGTCAGGTTTGCTTTTACGAACCAAGGTTTGATACTTCCATCTACTGAAATTATGACTTGAACAGGAACAGATTGCCGCTGGTGGTACCAAAGAAAAGACATTTGAATTAGACCGTAATCTGATCGTTGAATGGTTCTTTCGAATAATTAAACTTCTCTTGCCAAGAGCAACTGCCTTTTTGCCCATTAAATTTCATAACAATTAGACGGATGAACTGAGCTACCGGAATTTGCATAGAGATGTAAAGGAAACAAAGTTATCTTTGCATGAGAAACTTGTTGAGGCTGCAGTTTCTCGTAGCATTCAACTCTTTTCTTGTTCATGTTTTGCCTAAACTACCTTGATGACTCTGTACAACACTTTCTAATCTTTTCTGCCTTGTGAGTCACATACAATTTCTCACAAAATTAGTGCTATCAGAATTTTCTCCGGAGTTTATCCGCTGCAGTTTTATTGCTGCTTCAGTAGCAGAACGAACATTTTCTTTCTACTGGTTTGTGTTCTGCTGGAACTCGAGTACTCTCACAAACATCAGCTAATTCCAGATATTGTGATCGGCTAACACTTCAATTGTGCTTATATCTTGAAGGATGAGGCATTGCAAACCATATGAAGCGATCTAAATATTCTTTACAACAACTGTAAGTCCCCCTAATGAGTGTATTTATTAAGTTTCAACTATAAATTGTATGGAACATTCGTAGTATTTTAAAGCTTCCCTTTCTGTTGTATTCATGCAACTGATGCTTTTTCCCTTCAGAGTATCCAAATTCACATGTGCAGAGTTGTTTGCATTGTATGCTTGGTTTGTAATAAATTGTCAGTGTTTTGTTTGTCACACAGAATGTAGGATACAGATATATTCCTGATTGACATAGGAGATATGAGGAATAGACAGGGCTGCCATCTGAATGAGTCGGGCCTTTTCAATTCAATTCTGTTTCTGAACAAGTGGGTAGTATGCTATTATACAGGAAACAACTGTAAACCTGAAGCTTTCAGATTAATGAAACAGAAAATAGGAAAGTATAACAATAGGAGGAAGAGATGAGATAAATCTAAAAAACTTGTTTAGTTAGAAGAGCCTGTGGCTTCAATTTCTATTGTCTTCTTGTAAAAAACATCACATGTTATACCGCTTGACTGCAGCAGCCATGAGTTGCCTTTTTATAAAATGATCAAAGTACCATTCTGATATTGATTGGGACTTATACTTTGCTTAGAACTCCTGAAGTGCACCTCAAATGGTGTCAGTTGGTTCTATCAGTCGAGACTGTATCAGAATAAAATTAAGAGAAAAAAAAAAAGTCATTTGAGGCTGCTTATAATAATTTCATTTATGGGCGTAGCTCTGATGCCTGTCACCCTATACTGGTTCTTCTACAACAGTTATTCTTTTCTTGAGTAGTAGTTTCTGGATCTGATTTGTTTAGTTGTTGGAGCTGTCTCAGATAGTGTTGTTTGTAAAATGTCCTTGTTCTTTGTCACTTGGATGATGCCCTCAGTTGAGAATACTTGGATGGATGTTCTTTATTCGACGGTAGAATTCTCTCATGCCACTAAATATTTTGTCGTTCTCTTGTTTTCTATTCGTTCATACCACTTAAGAAAAAAAACCCATAGTCATCTTGCAATAAACATGGGAGAGAAGCCTCTAGGTTTGGATACTGCGGTACCTCTTAATTCACCATTTATATTTCCCAAACTGAAAAAAAGGACTGAGGTGTCTTGTATCTGATTCTTTATAACACCTGTTCAAGAATGCGACAAAAATCCAATCTGAAAGTTCAAAACTAGATCTGCACTCAGTATATCTCCCATCCAGTTGCATCCTAATACCAAATATTCTGCTGACCAAAATAAACAGACATGGTTTCTTGGTGACAGGAAAATTGATCTTTCGAGTAAAGTAGGGGCTTAATATATAGTTGGATGGCACAATTTGATATTGATATATTATGCATTTTCTTTTTTCTTTCCATATCATGTTCTTCTAACCAGAGATGTTAATTATATGACTTGGTGCAAACAAGGAATGAACAGCTAGAGTTGCTAATTTCTAATTAGAAATTTTGGCTATGGTGATCGGTGATTCAGAAGCGGATATAAGCCTGAATGTGTATTTAGTTTCTACCAGACTACCATTACCTCAGGTGAGTTTGGTCCACTAAATGATATTGAACTAATTTTATAGCAGCAACAACAAGAAGCCGCAATGTTCCAACTATTTGGGGGTTTTGCGTCAAGTTTACTACAAATTTAGGATGATATGTTTTTTTTAAGCTTCACTGAAGTACAAATAACTTCCATCTGTGTAGATGGCTATACAAAACTAATTGTAACCAAAAAAATGTCGAAATTATTGAAGAACATATATTATCCTCTCTTATTCTATTCCCTCCCTTTATCTATCAATTATTTGTTTTTTCTGTCGCCATGTATCTTGTCTGTCTGCTTCTACTGTTGACCAGTTGCTTTTTACTGGTTTTGAAGCCAATCTTTTATCCCCATCTATAATACCTGGACTAATAAATTTGCAATAACTGTGTTGACCTTGATGAGTTGCTTCATGTCAGTTACACTTCATGCTCAAATTTTACTTATTTTGTGGAAATATTCAACTGTTTTTTAATCTTGTAGCTTCTGGTTTTACTCCCACTGGAAACTACCTCAAGTAGAATAATCTTTTGGAGCTAGATCAATGTTATAAACAATACGGAGGCGACTAACTTGCCTCATGCATGGATCCTACCATGAATCAAGAAATTCTTTCTTTTTCTTTTGGTTCAGAATAGTTGAGAACCCAGGCATCCTTCGTAGTGTTTACTTGATCATCTACAACAAGTATTTCGATCAGAAGTTTCCTTTGTATGCAGTTATACTTTCAGGAGGTCTCTGTAGTAGAATACCTTGCCTTTGGGTGGTTCAATGAATAATCATTTTTTAAAACTTACTCTTTGTTATGCTAACTTTACCTTGTCGATAGGGAAATTGCTGTGTCTGCATCCATTCTCATTGACTGATTAAATAGAGGTCTGGTGCCACCAGCACGTTCCTGCTTTGGTGACCTGTTGGTGGAAGGAACCATGCTAGAAGATGGATGGCCTTGGCTAAGTGACTCAAATCTGTGTTGGTGCAGGAGCATGTAGATTCAGTGCACAGAAGTGGCAGAAAAGGAGTCATTGCATGGTGGCACATCTGATGCACATAGGAGGGGTGGGCTTTTGAGGTGTATCCGTGGACGTGCATGGTTTTGACAAAATGGGTGATTCCTCCCCCAGCATTGGGATTCTGTGGACTGCATGCGAGTATTTTTTTAAGACAATAGTTGTTGGTTTGAGGTGATCTTGGTTGAAGGCGACAACACAGGCAAATCGGTAGAAGCTATTGCATGCCACCCAAACCCTCTTTTATCAAATATGCAAAACTATGAAAAGAAGCATTTTTCTGCTCCTGTTCAGCGTCTACAAAATCATGAGTTGCCATTGGTGATGCTGACAACAACCCTCATGTTTGTTTGTCTCACGAGGTTGGAATGAGCGGAAAAAAAAAACCCGACCAAGATATCAAACAACTCGAAGACCTAGGGAAACACCTAAGCCTACCTACAGGCGTCATGGAGGGTACAGTTGGATGAATGAGTTGGAGTTGAAAATTTCAAACTGGCACGAATAACCCAAGATTTTGTATTTCACTGGAATTGCTGCACTTATTTTTATGGGAACATTTACATGACAGTGTTGGAGAGTCTCAATAGCTTCACTGAAACATGCAAAACGTGGGAGGAATCTCTGGTACGCAGAGGACACAATATGCATGTAGCTACTGACCAGTGGGGACTGTCATTTGATGACACAATTTTCTTGTGCAACTCCTGCTTGTAATTGGCCTAATGGTAATTGTTGGGCAGTTGTTTGTCGTGAACGTTCAGTGCTGGGTTTAACACCTGAATCCAAGTCTGGCTTTAACTCAGGTATGACCTGTCTAAATCTGTGAAGCATTGTTTGTCTATGAACACTTACTTGATCATGCCTATTAAATATTTGTTCAAATTACGAGCAGAGAATGGCTTACATTTGTGATGGTTCTATGATTCAGTCATGTCGTTCTGCTCGCATGTGATACCTTGGTCTTGAGCTTCCTAATCATCCTCTCGGCACTAACCAACCGGAGCATTAGGGAGTCCCTTATTTGATACTTTTTTCACTTTTTTTTTTTTTAATTCCCCTGATGATGGACTTTGCCTGACCAAGCTTGCTCTATAACACCATCCTGGATTTCAGATATGCATCGATGACATAACATATTATGCATCTTTTTTTTATATATACTTGGTATTTTTCGTCCTTGTTCCTATAGTTTACCTTGGTATTATTATTATCTTATGTCAGAGAAGTGAACCAGTGTTTTTGCGGTGGTACCAAACACGAGAATTAAGGTCTGATCTGCTCATGCAAGCTCGAGTTCCTCAGTAGGATCAGAATCATCCGCTTCCAGTTTATCTTACTTATGATTTTAATCTCAACTCCTGCAGGCTGCTGCCGAACAACAACGAGTTAGTTCCATGGCATGGCAGCCAACAATTTGAGTGAGTTTTTGACAACATGAAACCCCTACATCATAATTGTTGACTTGGGAAATCGTATCTGTTTCGCTTCTACATCATAATTTGTTGACACGAACTACAATGCTCATATCACCTGTGCAAGAACTACAGTGTAGTTGGAGCCAGCCCCATTAATATGATATAAAATAAAATACAATGATGGAGGAGGAGGCAAGGAAAAAGCAAGCAGCTATCTATCGAATCGCATCAGAAGAATACAGCAGCAGCGAAGACGTGCAAGCAGCAACTCGTACGCTGATGCATCCGTAGACGCTACCGCTTCATGCAACAACAAGAGCGGAGAGCAGCAGAAAAAAACGGGGGAGAAATCGTGGATGTGACGTGCCGCATCGACACAATGAAATGGCATCATTGGAGCCGTGCACCAGTGGACTGTGCGTTCGTTACGGGTATCTTTCATTGCATGCTCCACGTTCGATGCACGTCTACAGTCCGCCTCTGCGGAACTATTCCTATTTACGACGGTTTGGTTTGATGTGTCCGGTCGATGTCGCTCGAGCGAGGAAGTCCGCCCGTCGTACCTCCCAAAAGTTACACGTCATTGCCATGCACGGTCCTCCGAACGCATCAATGACTCGTCCGTGGCGATGAAACCGTGGGCGGCGGTAACGGTACTACAACGGGATCAGTAGAGAGGCGTGGCGTTTCGGAGTTGCCTTCTTTTAAAACCGCCCGCCCTCTCTCTCTCTCTCTCGCTCTCACTTCAATCACCCACAACTCCCCCCTCTGAATCGATCGGGGAACGCAACATCATCCAAATCGTCACCGAGTATGAATCAATCAATCTATCTCTCTCTCTCTCTCGTTCGCTCCTTTGATCCGATCCATTTCTTTACTCTCGTCCGTTTGTTGGTTTTCGGTTCCGATTAAGTCACGGCTATTCTGCTGCACATTTTTCCATGATCTTAATCCTGTCAATCTATTCTTTCAAGCATAATTTACTAACTATACATGTCTGATCGATGGGTTTCGTGCACGGGAATTTCTCTTTTTTCCCTCCCTTTTTATCGGTTCGACGCTGGTTCCAACTTCCAACAGAGGGTGCGCTCATAGGAACGGCTTTCCCATGATTTAGGTGAGAGGATTTGTGCGGTTTCTTTGTGCGCTTGATCTCAAGGCGTGTTGCCTGGGTCGGAAACACAAGGATTTTGATATGTTTGGTCTTTGAATTACTTGAGGATTCCCCTTTTCCTTATATTTATTTCTCGTTTTGAGCTAAACGATCGGAGAATGGTTCGCATGTTTAATTGCTACATCTAGCTTCGATTGCAGAGTCTTTTATCACTTCTATTCTTGGATGATGGCTGTTCTGGCTTCGAATGGCTACTGCCGCCAGTACTTGGAAACCTTCGACAAAAGGCGAGCCGTACAAGATTTCACCTTCTCTGGTGCGGTCTCCGATTGCAGGTCCCCATATTTTGCAACAGCCCGCGCTGACTGTCCGGCGACGAAGAGACTCCCGCGTATCCTTGCAAAGGCACGCCGGACAGAATTTGATGGCCTTGTCACCGACACTGGTGCCAACAAAATGGTTCCGACCAAGGATTTGGTGAGGAAAAGGATTCCTTCTCATCAGAAACCAGTGCCGATCAATGGTTCTAAGATGGTCGTCATCGGTGCCGGTACGAGCAAGAGGGATAGCACATCAGACCTCGTTCGAACCAAGAAGAATATAGCCCCCAAGGAGATCACTTTCACCGATGAGGTCAAAGTTTTGCCTTTAGATGAAGGTTTCAGCTGGGCCAATGATAATTACAATTACTGGCAAAGGACTATGGACATTTGGAATTTTGTGATTTCTTTACGCATTCGGGTTCTCTTCGACAATGGAAAATGGGCATATATTGATGGGTTTACAGAGGAGAAGCAGGTGAGCATCTTGGAACCTCGTTGAATGATAACGCACTTGCATATATGTGCATATTTTCTATACACCGAACGAAGGTGCTGTGGTCATTGGATCTGTGGTTGTTCCTGTTTGCCCTTAATGAATTTGATCCCTCCATTCATTACTTTGAGCGATGCTACCAAAAACAAGTCAATAGGTCAACATCTCTTACTTTAAGAACGCTTAATCCTTTATTTTCCTTAAAATTCATTGAATGCTTGAACTCATCCTCTGCTAGTTTCAGAACATGGTCTAATTTCTCATTTTAAATATACTTTGGTCATTGATGATTGTTGATGTTTAAAGTTCCTGCATTCTTACAAATAAACGCACGCATTCAACTTGGGTTCCATTTTACAGAAAATCAGAAGAACGAAAACTGCTTCATGGTTGAGAGAAAAAGCACTACAACTCGGACCAACTTTTATTAAATTAGGGCAGCAATTTTCAACCAGATCTGACATAATCCCTCGGGAGTTTGTAGATGAACTCGCCAAGCTGCAGGTAATTGGCATACGATCAATTTCCAAACTTCACTTCTTTTATGCTTGATGACGCTTTTCTAAATGGTCCCCTTTTCCTTTAATGTGCTTGATAGACAAATAAAATAAGTCATTGGCTTTATATTGTCAATATTACCACAGTAGAAACGATTGTTTTGAGCAATCATATTTACATAGTTCCACGCAGGGTTTGTCGTACCGAGCCGTACCGCCTGGTACAGGCGGTACGTACCAGTCCGACAGGTTTTCGGTACGCGGACCGATGGTTACTGGTCCGAGGCACTGTAGCACTGTAGCACTGTGCTACAGTACTCGGTACACTCAGGTGTACCGCTCGGTATACCGTACCGTACCGGTACCGAGCCAAGGTCGAAATACCGGTACGGTACGGTATTGCGAACCTTCCACGTATCTCAGTTACCTTCGATTATGATTGTTGAGCAAACATTTATTTTCATTTCATTTAATTGTTGTGAAACCTAATTTCCCCCCTACTCATTTTGTTTCATCTTATAATTTGCTTGCAGTTATTTTTCTAACATACTTTTATTTTTCCTAGTGGATCGCTTTTTAGTGTTTAGCGTATTAATTGCTGCTAGAAGGTTATTCTTTACAATGTTTGCAAAATTTTCATTGTTTTGGTGCTAGAAAACTTTGCTTGAGAGTCTTCCTCTAACCATGTGGCTTTATTTTTTATTTTTGCAGGACAGGGTACCTGCATTTTCACCAGACAAAGCAAAAGTTTTCATAGAATGTGAGTTGGGTTCTCCAGTTGAGTTATTATTCAAGGAATTTGAAGATCGGCCAATAGCTGCAGCAAGTCTCGGTCAGGTGTTTGATACTACTGGTTTTCCCCCATGTTAAAATTTTGAACTAGGCATAGTAATTATTCAAAACCATGCATATGAATAGATGGTGCCACAGCTTACAACAAGAACTGCATTTTAAATTTTGTGTTTTTTCCTTTTCTTTTTCCTTTCATGTGCAACTTCTATTTTCGTTATATTGCCATTGCTATACATAAACCATCATGAAAGCATGACATTATTATCACTAGATGTAGTTTTTTGAGTTGTTCTTACTGATGATAAGATAATATACACCCATCAACATGGTTATTTTTTCGAGGAGTATATGATAATGGACCATGACAACTTACTAGCTAAATAGTTAATCTAAGTCGCTACTAACTGATCAAAGTGACACGCTACTTTAGATTCATGAGTATTACAGTCTCCAAACCTTAAATCCTTCATGCTATCAACCAGAGCCACTATTAGTGGTAGCATACCTAGATCTTATGTAGCAATTGATATTTCCATGTTATTTTCAATGTGAAGGTGTGGTTTGATATATTTACTGACCCAATAACTTCTGGGTATATATATTATGCCTAGAACAACATAACCCAAAAATCTAAAAAGTCACTAGTAGATTAGTAGTAGTCCCATGAAACAATATATATAATTTTGATTTATCACAATCTTCCCTACTCAAAAGCTTAGCAACCTCATTGAGAGGCAACACAATCCAAAATCATTTTCTCTAGTGGCGCCCATGACTTAGTGGTGGCTCTTGTTGTTTGATATACCTACTAACCTAATAACCACATGGCCCAAAATGCTTAAGCATAAGAGTTTAGTGATTGACTCATCTAAACCTAAATAGTAATCCAACTTTTCATCAGTTCTCATATTTGACTATCTAGGTATCACAATCTTCCTACTCAGATTTGATATCCTTGTTAAAAGACACAAATACATCGAGATCATATGCCAAAAAATGGTTTATGAGCCTGTTTTCTAATGGTGCCTCCATATCGTGTCATTGTTTTGCATGAGGCCTCTCCCCAACGACAATGATCTCTGAGACTAGATCTTACATTTTTGTGAATTTAACATCATGTTTACTATAGAGTGATTGTTTTTTAATGGCTAGTGTATTTTTTTAGGACCTTTTGATATTATCCTATTTGACTTTAATTTTTATCTTTTTAGGTACATCGAGCAGTCCTTCATAGTGGAGAACGAGTTGTTG